CTTAATTTAATTTTCCCCTATTGATCAATTGTTTCTTCATTCATATTTTTTAATCATTTTTATGAATTATGATAAACAATTATATCAAATGTTCTTGAATGTTCAATTTATTTAAAACAGAATAAGTGAACATATATTCAACAATATGTACGAAAAGTAAATAACTGGACAGTTTACATTTTGAAACAGCAGCTTCAAACCTTCCTAGCATTTTAGTTGCTTGATCAATTCAATATCACCATGAAACTTTTTCTACAAGTGTTCATTCCAGTAGATATTACTACGATGTCTTCCCACTTAGCCTACATATAGGAAAAAATACAGGTAAAACACAGGTAAATCTGTGATGGCTAAGTTGGAATGGGGTGCAGGTGGGGAATAAAGGAAAGAAACAGGTAGACTATAGTCTGGTTTAGCTAAGTGCTTAATAAACAGTAAATTATTTATATAAGAATAACATGAATAATAAGGAGGAATTTAATGTTTTCTTCTCTTAAATATTAAAAAGTTCATATATAAATATTAAAATATGTTTTTAATACTTTTTAAAACTATGATCTCATTATGTGTAAAACTATTTTAGATGTCTTCTTATTTCAAATATGAAATGAATGAAAAAAAACCCGCTTTCTCTATAGAATTATATTTAGTTATACCTGAACATTGATGTTAAAATAAAATAATAAATCCTTTCATTAGATTATTATTTTTTTCATCTGGAAATATAAATATGAAAATTTATTAAGCTAATTTATTTTTAGAGATACATATACTACTATATTTCAAATATATTCTTCAAGAAATATTGTTTCCACCCTTAGCTTAGATTTGAATTGACACTTAATATACCATTTACAATGGCTTCTAATCCTTCGTTTGCCATATCTACAGCTTGGTTTAGAAGTGATTAACAGGTGCTAATAAGTGCCCTAGGCTCATTTACATAGGTGTTGACACCTGTTTTGACTTTGCTTATTGATACTCTTGTACAAACATTGATCTTTGTCTTAGAAAGGTTACCTTTACAACTGATTAATAGTGAGATATTTATTTCGTGATTCTTTTTTTATTATGGGAAATTTAAGTAGTTTGACACACAATATGTCAAATACCCAATGTTTTGAGATACAGCTTAGAATGACGAAAAAACACCCATTAATAAATACAATTGATAAATACAATCATGTTTATTATATAAGCTTAAACATATTTATTTAACAGTTAAATGAATTAAGGTAAAAACTTAAGTAATTAACTGCTTACTTGCTACAAATCAGTATTTGTGTATTCCTGTAAAATTGCCCCTTCGTTGTGCCATAAAAAATCTTTAAGCCTAATACATGTAGGCCAGGCAACACAATATTTTAAAATTCAATTAACATCTAAACAACTGGGAATAAAATTTGTTAAAAAATTACCCAATCTGCTTGAAAATAAATAAACGTTCATGACTATAATTATATTTAATTTTATACGTTTTTTCCTAATGTAATATATTCAATCTGCATGATGTCAATGTTATCCCACTAAAGTGTGCAATCACATTGCAAGCACAAAATTCAATGAAATGTTCTAGGACATTTGAGATAAATGCCGGCATTGTCCATCAAATATCATAATGAATTATCTAGAATTACAAAATACAACAACAATACGAACAAACAGGTGCAGTGTAGAGGTCTTGTGTTGAGCACGAGTGCCGGAAAAGTCTCAACTCTTCACAACCCACATATGGTCTGAGACGGACGAAGATATATCTGTTTAATCTTTGTCTAAAAGATTTCCTCCTGGTCTGAAATTACCTACTGAGTAAAAGTATATCAGACGTCCTTTTTTAAGAGTTAAGGCATATATAAGGCGTGGATTAAACTTGTAGAATCACAACCATACAAAAATATTCAAAAACATTCTCTCTGAAGATTATAAATGTATGCGTTTTGAGAGATGTGTCTTATCATTTCTAAAACATTCTGTTGCATTTGCAGGTATGATTTGGTGTGATGTAACAGATCCACTTTAATCCAGATTAAATTACAGGGGTTTATTCCAGCAGTTTTAAAAATAGGGGTATCATTACAAACATTGCAGTAAAAGTAAGAATGTAACATATTTTATAGGTTTGCACTATTTGGAGTTGCTGCAAATGAACTCCCCTTTTTGCATGTATGTTGATACAGCCTAATATGTTTGATTCCTGCTACTTGCCTGCATGACAGCCACCTGTCGTTCCAAAAAGGAATTCAAAACTTTACTTTTTTTTAAATATCTGAAAAAAAACATTAGGCTTTCATTTCTAGATGTTTCTTTGAATTAGTCAGAGAAATAACAGTTACCTATTGTATTCTGAAATAAAGGGAGTACATTGGAGACTTCCACCTGCCTGATGCTACTCCTGACAACATCCTAAAAAAATACCGTGTAGGAGTCCTCCCTAATCGAAAATTTCTGATACAGAAGCATCCTTAGTTTATCATTTTAGATAAGGACTTTCTTAATCTAATTGACATACTTCCAATTTTGCTTCTACTTTGTAGATCATTAGGTATACTTGTTCAGATTAAAAATGTACAAACATTTTAAGAAATATAATCTAACATTATACTTGGAGTAGTGGGTTCTATTTTATCCAATAAAGTTACATTTTCTTAGATTTGCATTTCCAATTCAGTCTACAAATGCTAATAACTTTGCCAGAGGTGTTTTAATCTAACATTGAACTAAGTACAATTTAATCTAATTGAATTAAAAATGACTTCTAGTTTTCAGTACTTTTAGTTACGTGATTTATTATCAGTCAAAATGAAAGTAACTTGGCAATGGCAAGCGTTAATTATCGATATTTGCATGACTGAATAATTTTAACTTTCAATCAATATATATTAAACAAGCTAAATATAATGCAAGAAATATCAATTTATATTAATGGAAGGAAAGGGGACTTTCTAAAATTAACACACAACTTAGATATTAATAAAGTAACTATATCTGTAATCCATCACACAATTATTAATGTTTATTTATCTGACGTTTATCATGTTTATATACGAGACATTAATTGAGAAGAACTGGAGTGCTGCGAATCATGTTTACAAATCATCTCGAGATGTAAACTTTATTTTTAAGTTCAGTACTGAAGGTTGAATTAATTTCTACCTACCCTTTGAAAAAAATGAGAAAAAATAGAGCGCTCAATGACTTACATTCGTGTAAGTGGGGAAAGAACATTGACAGATTCCAAGCACTTCATTTTTAGCTCGCGCTGACAGGGTTTTCCGACTTAGCCAACATTTTAAACATAGATAATGGCTACATGTAGGAAGAAAGCAAAAGATTTAGTAGATATAAAGATACATGTATTACATTAGCGCAGACACAACTACGATAACTGGCCACGGTTCAATATACGAGAACCATCAATTGTTCATACATTGATCATGATACATGTTGTTTTATAATAATTTTATCTGCGTATATGTATATGGTTTAAATATAGTTGATTGAATTAATCATTAAAAGAATTTTTTGAGATAAATTAATTTTATCTTTAATGACTGTGTTATTTTTAGTATCCTGGAAAAGTGTTAGTAAAGCAAAGCTTCATTATTATATTTTCCCCTGAAAAAATCATGTTTCTTTCAAAAGTTAACTTTGAACCTCAGTTTATTTGTAGTTTTGAAAGCTAAATAGAAAAAAATCATCTCAAATCTCTCTTGCGTTGCAAATATTACTAAATATTTCATCTCTATATATGTAAAATTCAAATTCTCGCTTTTTCTTTATCCAGATAAAGTGCACTAGATTTCGACCTGCTCATAAATGAACTCTCTTCTCTATCTAATACATACGAGGGCTTTTCAATGAATAATGTCCTCGGTGATAAGAAAGAAGAAAACGGCGCTTTTCAATGTTTTAGTCTTCATGATTTACTTATTAATCTCTTTTAATTCAAACTCATGTAAGTCACATTTTTTTATCCAATTTCTGATTGTCTTTAGAACTCATTTTTGGGTATGACTCTTAGTATACAGGAAAATGACAGATCCAATGATTTCCTGAACTTGTTTTTTTCTTCTAAAAGGTGTTTTTTTTTCAAGTTTGGAAATAGAAACAAGTCAAAAGGTCAAAAATCTGGCAAATATTATTAATTTGAAAATACATTAACTTTCTGTTTATCCTGAGAACCCCTTTATTCTTCGGGGCATGCGGGTTGAACGCTGTCGTGAAGAAATTCAATGTAGTGGATTCCTGATTCTGGGTCCTTCCTCTAATAAACATTTCGATGTTTTTGCAAAAAAAGTGCTTTCTAGATTCCATCAGACATTAAACTGTCTCCCCGAATACGAATTTGAACAACAATACCACTAATATTTAAGAAAATTGCATATAAATCTGTCTTTCTGCTCTTGCATACCTTTGCTCTTTTCAGAACTTCGCCGTTTTATCAAGTACATCTTATGGTAAATTTCGTTTTGATAGTTTTTAGCAATAGATTCATGTTCTAATATCTGTTCCAATATGAAACAAACGTGGATAACTACAAATACTGATATTTTAAAATAATTGTTAAGACTTTCGTACACGCTGTCGTTTTCACTCATTTTAAAGAATATAGGGTGACCTATGAGTACTAAGCTTTTTTAACTGCAAAATGTTTCTTTAAAACAGTGTAAACTACTCCCGATATGATGTCTATCAAATTTGCTATGTTTCTTAAAGTCAATCATACATCATCAAATATTATTTGTTGAAATTTGGCAAACAGTACAGAACATTTGGCAAAAAGTTGTTATATTTTTGCTGGCAAGGAGGTACCCATCTTTGATGCCCATTATATAATTTTTAATCATTGAAATCCACCTGCTCATTTGTCTATAAAACAGGCATCGGTTGCTGTAAATGTCACATATTTCAGTGAATATTTGTTTGGGATTTTTAACAAGTTTTACAGCAGCTTTAATGTAGCTTTTATTTTCATTCTAGTTTACTGATTTCATACAGGTATATTCAAGGCAGTGATAAAACTTTGTGTCCCGTGAAGTAAGTATATTTGGAATGCAAGAACTCCGCTTCCCGGTGATACACTTGTAACCACACTTCATCATTTTTCTTCAATTCCATCACAAATGTACCTGAATTCGAAATAGCGTTGTTGTTAGAGTATTGTCTGTTATACTCCGATACACGGTTTCCATCGGAATATGTGCATGTATCCACGAACTGTTGGCCATTTACATATGCCCAAATATAAATATTACCTCCAGTTTTTGTAAGACAACTCCATGAGAAAAAATAAATTCCGTGTTCTGCTGCAATAAATTTGCCATTGAGAGGGTTGTATCTATTTCCTATGTTTAATATGGCGTCATCAAATTTCAAAATTGTTCCTGGTTGTGAATTCCGATAATCTTGACTTAATCTGGAGTAGAATGCAGTTGGTGTTCCTATATTTCTCTCTACAATCTCTGTAAAAGTAAATGCGCTAAATTATTCATTCATCGCCTCAAATGATGCATAAGGTTCATTAACCCTCTGCTCACTCATATAAAATGTTGCTTGAACCATGATAATTTTCCAAAAGAAATATATTTTATGAGTAAAATACAAACAACTATAGTATAGCTTAGGGGCAAAATTGGACAAAAAAGACACTTCAACTTGGCAAACCTATAAAGGAATAATAAACATTTATGTCATTAAGAGTTATCTCTCTTAGCAGAGTATCGATGAACCTTAATTACGTTTTTTTTTATATTTTAATCGTTAGATCATTATCAACACACTAATACATCTTTTATTTTTCTTCTCTTCTCCCAGATCATGACAAGCAGCACATGTAGGGTGTGACTGGTCGGAATGGGATGCGCACTTCTCCATGGCACCTGATCCTATTCTAAAATGAAGCTTATTTAACCTATGTTTCACGATATAACATTACTAGGGACAGTTAACTCTTTACAAATGCTTTATAAATTTATGAAAGTTATGCTATAAAATAGATAAAATGATCTTTTCATATAATTGAATTTCAGTGTACAATTAAGGCAATATTTCTCCAAAACTAGCTTCAAATTGAGCATATTTTCAAAGTTATATCAATCGGAGTAATACGTTTTTGGCATAACTCATTGCGACGTAGGCAACTTATGTTATACGATATAAAGTAAATCTTATGTCCTCTCAATTGACGTGTTACTAATAAAGTTATTTTATCTTATGATGTTTTAGAGGTCAGAGTTTGCTTTGCTTTTGATTGGGATTGTTTGAATGGACTTCCGAGTTTGAATACTGTTTGTTATCTATATTAGTCTATGCTAACGTCACCAACTAATTTTAAATTTCAACATTTTGATTGGTTTTTCATAAAACGGTAAAATAATTAAGATATGAACCTACCTAAGCGGGTTAAAATATCCTTAGTACTATTTGACAAAGTTTCATCCAACAATTTTATCTGTCCTTCAAGAGTCCTTTGAAGATCCGACAGTTTTCGATTTGCTTCTATTTTGTAGAAATCAAGCAACTTCAACTGCATGTCGTATAATTCACTGCCGTGCTTAAGTTTCATAGTGTTCACCTCTTGTCTGAATTCCATTTGAATGTCATGCATCCGTCTCTCCAACTGCAGATAGAAGAGGCCCGCAGAATGAGCCACGACTACAACAACTAGGGTATCCATCATATTGAATTTAGAGTCAACTGCTGTAAAGTGTAATCCAAACATACTTTTAACATTGAGACTTTGATATCGTTTATCTGTTCGTTCAGATTATTGTGTTTCTATATACATGCATTTGTAATAAGAAATGTCCTTAATGAAACGCAATTGATAAGATATTTTATCTACAGGTATTGTTTGCATAAGGACTACATAATTATACTTCCAGATGAAAAAAAAAAACCTAAAATCAATATGTACTGTTATTCTATAGGAAACTATATGTATTTGCAACGATGGGTTAAAAGGAACATTTAATAAAGTAACCACTACTATATTGATAAAGGAGTAGAGAACTACGGTTATGATATGAAAATAACGAATCGTTATCTAGCTTAGTCCATAAAAATAATATAAAGCGGGAAGCAAGCAAACAGGGACATCGCACAGCAGCATGGAGAAGTATGCATATTCTTGCAATCGTTCTCACCACCATAGTTCTATTGGGCAAATGGAAAAAAAAACCGTAGATGAATCAGTTTGTAAACTGTAAGGACCAAATAATTCGTCAGTCAATATAACAAACGGCTTTGCTGCTCTTTAGCAGTAGGTTTTTTAAGTGTTTTCAAAGATGCAGTGTATTCCATACTTAACACTTGATCCCCCATTGTAGCATCTCCCTACCCATAGGTATGTTTTGCTGTTTTGTTGTTGTTATACTTTTGCTGTTCTAGAGAAGGATTTTATTTTTTTTCCTATAGATACATTCCTATTTAAAACTTTTGTGGTCATTATGGTCCCAACCTATCGTAGGGAGTTGTGACTTATAAACAGACTTGAATCCTCACTACCTGAGGATACCTCTCAATATGACTTAACATGGCTTTGATGATTCGAAGAGAAGTTTCTAAAGATGTGTTTCTTTATTTAAAATATTAATATGTTACTTTAATAAAAAAAAAAATAGGGCATATTAATGTCACAACTTATGAATAATTTTAATTTTTACTAAAGTGTGACCAATTCGTAGAAAAAAATTAAATAGCTGTCATATCAATTTTCGACGAAAAATATTCAGTTTTTCTTTGTATTTGTATTCTTCCATATGTACTGATCAAAAACTCAGGAGAAATGTTGCATCGTTTGCGGCGTTTGACATTAGAAAAAGCATGGTAAAGCAGACAGTATTGCGTCTGCAGGGGGTTCCTTTAGTGAGAGAAATTAAAAAATGAAAACAATTAAAAGCTTACGAATTCCATCCATGAAAAATTGTTGCAAATAGATATACAAATATAAAAATGTAAAATATATATTTAATAATAATATAAAAATCAAAGTTTCGGTTAAACGATGTGCAATTATTTTAAAATTATTCAATTTTAATTTTGTCTTTGAGGGAGCTTATACGGACAAATGTTTCACAGACACAAATTGTTTCTGAATTGACAGTGGCACCCAGACTCCCTTGTTTGTAGATCTCCTAACAGTCGTGATACCCTTTTTAAAGGTTCATCATAACTCATATGGAGGCAATGACAATGGTTTTTTCTCTTAAATGTACAATCATACATTGTTGCACAAAACTTCGATGAGAATTAATTTGATTTTGTGGATCGACTCAACAACGAAATTGGTTTTCATGAATAATGATGAAACCATAGTATATCCTAACTACCCAAGCACCATCAAGAGATCCTGGGCCACTTGCAATGAAACTTCAAATTTTGCTTATAACTTTATATGGACTTTGCTGAATTTCAGACGCAGGGGAAGAATTTTGAAAAATAAAATACTTTCACTTTTACTTCCATATAAAACCAAAGCTTCTGACCCAGGAGCCATACAATTCACAATTCTAGGAAAAACGCGTTTGTCTATCACAGATAAGTACGTCTTTAAAGGATTAATCGTTTTCATTGTATCAAGAATAGAGATCCTTACTAAATCAAAATCTATGACACAGTTGCCATGAAATTCACAATTGTAGAAGAAGCACCCCCGCCCTTCATATCTAAGAATTTAATCTGTATGCGTAATATCCAGGAGCAGAAAATAATACAATTATCAGTAAACATTGAACTTTCAGTAAGGCGTGGCGTTCTCGGCTCTATGTAATAAGCGTCTGTTAGATGGCATATAAATTCTCATTGTTTTAGAAATCTATAACATCAGGGACTTTAAATTGTCGTTGTCAACGATGACTTAACATGCTTAAGTCCAACCCCTTCTGCCGTACGAGACGATGTATCAAATAATTGCTTCACTTGTTGACATTCGCCGAATTCTATGAGCAACCCCATGTATATTTTAGCAGTGTATGAAAGCTGTGTAAATTTCAGACGCCAATTGTGTAACGTCGAGAATGCCATTTCTAACTAGGTATTGTACTATTTATGAAAAAATCATGCACTTTCATCATATGATCTACATAGCACTGCTCTGGCACCAGAACCCTTGACTTCAGTGCTATGAATTTCATAGTTTTGGTAAAGGGCTTTTTGTGATCAAATTCATGCCAACTGTTATACTGTTTGATATCAAGGAGTTAAAAATATTTTTAAAGATTTCCTTTATGTTTATGGTTTAAACCCAACCTGTTATGTCACAGGGAGGCACAATTTTGTTCCTTTTAGCCCATGGATTCTTTGAAATTGGTAGAAATTGGTTCAGCAGTTCAAGGGATGTACTCGATAAAAATAGAATTTTAAGGCATTATTTGAAAAATAAACCAACAACAAACTCACTTAAAACGCTTAAATTTACAACTGAAGAAAAAGCATAATTGAGGCATTCATTTATTGATGAAAGAAATGGACAGAAAAAGCATCAAGGAAAAATTTTCATTTTCTTGGGTTCAAAGGTTTTTTTTCACATTTCCAAACCAACCTTCAAAAAGAAAGCAAACTTAATGGCAAAGCAACATTTTGGTAAAAAAAAGTATATTCGTTGGGAAAGAATTTGCCAATTTCAATGTAAACAATATTATCACCGAAATTAATTTCACACCTGAGTGCCCTTCATTCACATACTGTTGTTTATTTTATTTCCAAGTTTTTATAGATGTTAATTTTCCAAAAGCCACCACAACGTTGCCTTCTATTCCCACGACATCTCTTGTTGCATTCTCTCTCTGGTTTTTGAACAGGTTTTGTAAGAGTGTTTCCACAGAAGCACCATCCTCCATCCTACAAATAAATGACAGAAATGTTTATAGCTTATTCAATGAATTCCTATACAATTTAGATAGTAATGATAATTTTCTGCAATAAATTGACGAACCTCGAGACCAAAGAACTTGTTTTTTATCTTTCGCACACCAATCCCTGCACTTTGGAATGGTCATCATTCCATCTTGTTTATATTTTCCGGTCAGTACTCGGTCCTTTTGGTCTTGGAAACATCCTAAATATCCTAACAACAAAGGACATAGTTTTTGTAATAAATGTACCTTATTCACAGCTGGCTTCATTTTATAAAATGGAAAAAGACGATATTTACATTTTGAAGTCATTTAGATCATTTGGAAACATATAATAACATTTTTGAAATGGACATTGACTTCTGATTTCGAAAAAAGAAAACTAGCTATAGGAAGCCAACTGGAAAAATTATTAGTAGCTTTAGAAATATTGCTGACATTAAATTTCTTTTTGTTTTTTCTTAATAAACTTTTTCACACTGACATGAGGTATTGATCTGTTTTAATCTATTTCTTTATTCATGTGCAACGCGTGGGTGACCGAAACTTAAAAATACTAAGAAATAAGGTATGTTTCAATTTGAAGAAGAAAGAAGATAGTTACACTGTATTACAAACATGTACATAGAGTCCAATTATTTTTTTATATTGTTCTATATCATATAACCCATAATCTTCGGAATTTGCATCCAAAATGAATGAAAAACGAAAATAAGTTTCTTCTTGTAATTCTGCCTTCAGGTAAATCAAACACATATCGTGTAATAGTATCCAACTGGACGTTAACTGAAACTTTAATAAACATCACACCTTTATTTAGGAAGAGGTTCATTCTCATATGTCCACCACAAGGCTGTCTTCTATTCCCGGCGCATCTCATGTTACATTCTCTCCATGGTCTTCTAAAAGTTTTTTGAAAAGTGTTTCCACAGAAACACCATTGTCCAGCCTACAAAGAAATAACAGAAATGTTTATGGATTATTCATTATTATTCATTGATTTCCAGTACAATTAAGCATAGTAGTGATTATTTTCTCTTATTAATTGACGAACCTGGACACCGTAGAATTTGTAGTTATGCTTCATGCACATACTGTTGCACTTGTTAATGGTCATGTCCCCGGATTTTATTGCCTTACCGGTCAGAAATCGGTTAATGTGGGCTTTGACGCATCCTAAGTACCCTGGCAACAAAAACATACTTTTTTTTAATAAATGCACCTTATTTACAGCTGGCTTTACTCCAGTATTCGATCCTTACGTCGCGAGTTCGAATCTCACTGTGGAACGTGGAGACCGGTCTTTTGAATGAGACCGGTCCGTGTCTCAGTAGATGCTGGCACGAAAAAGATTCCTCCCTCCTCAATGGCCCTCAGTGCCGCGTATAAGACAAAATTTGCATGCTCTCCATCGGCAAGTGGTGGCGTCTCCATATGAGTGAAAAATTATCGAGAGGGACGTTAAACAATATACAATCAATCAATCAATATTCCAGTATTCAAGTTCAGATTGTTTGATAATTTTCATGTATTTTAAACACTATTCGGAAGTATTATAAAAAAACAATTCCGTTTATTTTTCTTGTGATCTCAAGTTGATTTCAATTTCTATATCCTTTTTATAACTTATGTAGTGAAAAATATTCTTATTCAATAAAATTCTGTTTTCCTTTTCATTCAAGGTCCGAAGACTTTTTATGTTATTTGAAAACAAGATGGAAAATCTTTTGAAGTAATTCTGAAGTGAACCTCTCATACCACTTAAACAACATAAATATACCCTTTCCCCAATTAGTAAACCAATGACTACAGTTCCATATCTACTCTCTCGGTGTCAAAGACCATCACTTTGTGGGAGATAATGCCAATACATTTCCCAATGTCAGCTTAATAAAAGCTTGGGCCCTAAATTATTAATAATTTCTTCGATGAAGTAAAACCTGTCATTGATATTATTTCATTGATACATAAACAAGAATATTTGAAACAAAGAAAAGGTAATGCACACATTTTAAATTTTTTAAAATGATGAAGGTGTAGACTAGATATGCAAGATGAAGACACAAATAATTACGTACCTGGAATAGCTTCCGAACTGAGAAAGCATACTAAAAAAAAATAAAAAATTATCAAGATATTGTTGCAGTGTTGTGTTGTTATATTTGAATGACTAATACTCAGTAATACATTTGTATTGATTCCAGTTTATGGTTGAAATGATGCACACGAATGCAAAAATATAATTAGACTTTACTAGCCTAATTTCTCGCGTGAGTGGGTAAATGACTAACCCTGATTTTTCTTATGAATGCAATAATAATCCTTATCGGTCCAAAAATGTGCAGCAACTAACGTAGATATCTTGAGTGTGCAAGGCCAAACCCTTATATCTCAAAGGGAACAATCAATCGGACGACTCTGCCAAACCAGGCCATCGGACTTTGGCGTTTCTATGAGTCACTATTTAGATATAATGCCTTCATCATATAAACGGGTCATTGATTAATTCATATTTTAAGTAGATTTACTAATACATGTAATATAATTGCTGTTATATATGTAAAAAAAGTTCATTTAATCTTCAATTATTGCCAAATTCCAACAATTTTATACTTGCTCATATTTATTTTCTAATTAAAATATTATTTCAGATTATTATTTACATTAGAGTATTAAAGTGTTTAATAAAACTCAGGATGATGTTGCATAGCAATTCTGTAAGTTGTAAAGAGTTAATAAACTCAGGATGAATGACTATCCGTACATATCTATTGACTATGTGTACAACATTTTTTTTAACAGAAAAAGTTTTATACAAACGATGGGGTTTCTATCTAAACAACAGAAGAAAACAGGCCTGATCCGTTAGGTCGACTAGTTGGTAACATATTTCTTACCACAGTTCCAGGAGATTTCTAAGTAGCCTAATAAGATGTAATTCACATTATTAATTTCTTACTTTTTTCCCTTAGCTTCTGAATCTAGCTGCTTTACAATTAGTTGAGATCCGCTCTAACTCATTACATACTGACTTATCTTTCTATCCTCTTTCAAATAATTCTATGGAAATTTGCGCTACGTCTATCAAACGTTCAATATTTTATTCCGGAAGCTCATACAAATGTTTCATTACAGAACTACTCTTTCATAGAATATTCTTTTTATCTATACGAGAACATACGTATTAAATGTCCACTGCTTACGCCAAAAAAGGGATATGCAATCGATACTAACCATGATAACACGTCTACGCTTGACACTATGATGAAGCCCTAACAATCCAAAGAAAATTGAGATTATTGGAAAACAAATTAATTTTCCAGATGTATCTTCACCAGATCCAAAATTCACTCCCGATGCATATGATATATATATATACAAAATATTGTGTAAATCCGAACGAATATCAAATTTGTCCGAACAAATATGTAATATGTCAAAACAGGTACAGCCTAATGCGTCTAAAGAAATTCACGATTCATTCAAACAATCATCTAATTCGTCCGAACGAATATTCCATTCGTCACAACAAATTTCTGATTCGTTCGAAAAAAAAAAAAATTAATTTGTACGATAAATATGTAATTCATCAGAACAAATTTCTTATTTGTCCTGTATAATAATACATAAAGACTGCGAACAATAGCATTCTTTTGCCGCCTATATGTACCTTTAAGTCAATTTGTAAAAGTTGACTTATTTGAATAATTATTCTTATTTATAATATTATGTAAATTTGCCTAAAACATAACATATTTGGGAAAACAAAGAAAGAGAACTCTATAGTTTTGGTAAACCTTTTGCTTTTTCACTATAAAAATCAACAAAAAACGAAAATTATTTTACACCCCCCCCCCCGGTAATGCAAAAATTTCTTATCTTTTTACCGACATTGTAAATTGTTATTTCAAGTAAATACCAACGATTTGTTTCACGGAGTAAAATATGTTTATAGACAAAAAACACAGCAAAAGCGTTCATTCCTTCACCAAGTTCTATTGATGACAAATAAAAAAAATATTTATTTATTATAATACGAGGGGCGTTCAATAAATAATGTCATCGGTGCTCGGAAAGAAACAACAAACGCTTTTCTATGATTTAGTCTTAATGATTAAGCTAAAATATTGTCTTTTGATTAAAACACATGTCCGTAACATTTTTGTATAATTTCTAATTGTTTTTAGAACACATTTTTGAGTATGACCCTTCGTATACTGAAATATGGCAGATCCTATGATTTCCTGTACTTGTTATTTCTTTCTGAAAGGTGTTTCTTTTTCAAGTTTGGGAAATGAAACAAATCAAAGGTTGAAACTGCTGGCCAAAATTGTTGCTGTGACCAAACATTAACTTTATTTTTATCCCAAGAACTTCTTTACGCTTCATGACCTGTCGGTTTGGACGCTGTCGTGAAGAAAATAAATGTAGTGAATTCCTCATTCTGGCGCCTTCCTCTCATAAACCTTTCACTTTTTTGCCAACAATTTGCTTTCTTGACTCTTCCAGAAATTGAAATTACTCCCCCAATAAGAATTTGAACGACAAGACAACTTATATTTAAGAAAATAGCATATAAAACTGTTTTTGTTTTTGCTCTTACAATTCTTTGTTCTTTTCAGGCCTTTGCTTTTTGTCAAGTGTAGCTCATTGTAAAGCAAAATGGATTCAAGTTTCATTACCTGTTTGAATTTCAGACAAATATGGACAAGTATTTTTTTTTTACAATAATTGTTTAGATATTCCTAGACGCTGTCGTTTTCACTCATTTTTCAAAATATTAGGTGACCTTTGAGTATTAAACTTTTTTTACTATCAAATGTTTCTTTAAAACATTGTGAAGTACCCCCAAAATGATGTCTATCAAATTTGCTATGTGTCTTAAAGTCAATCAAACATACTTAGTGATAATTTGTTGAATTTTTGCAAATATACATTGGTTGTTGCTTGTCCTTGTCGCCAAGAATGGTACCCATTTTTGTTGCCCATTATATCATTTTCGTTTATTGAAATTGCCGTAAATTTCACATATTTCAGTTAATATATCTTGGGATTCTTAACAGGTATTACAGCAGCTTTAAAGGAGCTTTTAAATTTCACTCTAGTTTACTGTTTCTTGACTATTCATTTTAAATGCAGTGTTTTCCAGCTTCTCACAATGGAACTATGTGATGAAAAGTGGTCAAATAAGATTTAATAATTAGAGAAAGTCAATCTTAATGGCATATGATTTCTATGTTGTATGTTCTCGAGCTGATGACATGAATAATTGAACGTCCCTCGTGTGTTGAATTTTACATACGAACACATTTTAGAGTTAATTTTATCCAATTTTAATGAGTATTGGAAAATCCGATAGTGTTTAAATGCCTGATTACAATGAAAATAGTTTTTCTATTCCCCTTATGAAAATGCTTGTTAATATAAGCAATGATTTTTTTTTACTCTGCTTGTAAAATTATTATCATAAGCAATTACTAATAAACTCTTCTGTGTATTCAAATAAGTTTTAATGACCAAATTGTTATTTACATTGAATTAATTGAATTAAAATATAGACAGAAATCGAAAGTTAGTGGTTGTAGTTATAATGGTCCTTCAGCGGAATGAATTTTCTAATTTGTCGAAACAAATCTGAACGAATTCCGTATATGTCGAAACAAATTTGAACGAATTCCTAATTTGTTGAAACAAATTACTAATTCATACGATCAAATTTCTAATATCTAATTCGTCGGGACAAATATGCAATTTGTTTGAAAGAATATTATATTTGTCCGAAAGAATAAAAGATATATCTTTAAATTTAGCACAAATATTATCAAACCAAGTTGCAACTTACCAGTTTCAAGGATCAGGAATACAGCTACAATCTTCATTTTGTCTCTATCATGCTTCCCTTTTCGAATACCTGCTTTTATAATGTCCCTCCGCTTATTTCCTCCAATGTTTCCACCAGTGAACTGTTTACGACTATTGAAAATTGTAACACCTGTGTGAAATTCAGACAATGTACTTCGACTTCAAAAAGATTTTTGTCTTTTTTCTGAACCATTTGCCGTGTTAATTAAATGATATTTCCGCAAAGCCTTTTTCCAAAAAAAAACTTATAAATAATGCTTGCTTGCACTTCAAATAAAAATTACCCTTTTTCTCAACCATTTGCCGAGTTAATTAATTGATATTTCAGTAAAGCCCTTTTCAAAAGCAACTTATAGATCATACTTATTTGGTATAGAAGTAGTCACTGGTGAGATGGAGTGAAAAAAAAATAATTAAAGTGTCCTATATGAAGATTCCTGCTGCTTATCAAGAATAAGTATGACGCTGTATAAAAGAGTTTTCCTTAAGTATATAATTTCAGGAATGAGGTTGTCCCCTATTGCGGTTCTATTCTAAACTCTTTGAGCATGATTTGACCATATTAGAATAAAAAATATTTCACAAAAGTGTCATCTTTTCTGGCTTGGTTTTTAATAAACTGACGATACATATTTATTTACCATCTTTTGATTATTTCCCCTCAGGATGAGACAAATCAATGATGAATTTGATATCAAAGGTTGTCTTCTTCTATCTTTTTTAATCATAGATGGACAAAGATATAATATAACAGCAGAAGACGTTTGTGTTAAATAAAATAATCACAACATTGGTCAACATTGGTCAAATTTGTATGAAATATTTGATTTATTCTCCTTTTTATTTTGAACTTTAACATGTTTAAAGCAAGGCAGCTTTTTGTTCTCAAAGATTATGAAATATCTCATAGAGTTAAAAAACCACTGCTAAATCTTATATGAAAATGTTTCAAAGGAAAGTCCTATTTGTAAAATAAATTCACAAGAAATTCAGGTGTTCATTATGCACTCAAACTTAAATTGTAGTATTGTTCTATGTATGTATGGTGTAAAAGATTTGAATACTCCTCCCCTTTTAAGAATAGAAATGCTTTTATAGTTATTTTTTTTAAAAGCACGGTTTAAAAACATCTTTTAGAACAAATTAAGAGGGCTAGGGGGTCGCTGCCATTTTTAGACTAATAGTATATTGATCTCCTTTAGAAGAAGAGCTCCATATGAAGATATACAAAAATGGTCAAATTTTAAAACTAAAATATATGAATCTTTTCTTTGCCAAATGATAGCTGACAGCTTCAGATATCATATATAAAAATTTAAGTTCAATCTAATGGTAAAGCCTCCTTAAAAAACATAAAAGAAAATGATCATATTTATGATTGAAACTTAACTTTTCATTTTATGATACAAATGAATATTCTATGAATATTAAATTCTAGGTTCTTTATTAAGATATCTAATTTTGCTGTCAACGTACTTAATTTCATTTCTCATTGAAGGTGTTTTCTTTTAATTAACTGTTATTATATTCTCTGTAAATAGTACTGCCCATTCTTTTATTTGCGCAATTGAATCTAGTTAATGTCTTATTAATTCTATGCTTAAAATATGTATATATATTTTTAATGGTTTTTTTATAAGGCATCTCTTATTCGAAGAAATATAATGAATTCATATTAGGTACAACGTACCTCTGAAAATATCTCATATTTTATATAAAGAATCTAGGGGGATTAGACGACTCATATGCCCATACGGATTTTGTCGCTTTGTTTATCATATCGGAAATTTCATAGTTTTACGATTCACCTAATCATTTAAACTTTGTACGAAGACTGACAGCTCCTGTCTCATTCGTATATCGAAGATCAGACAGGCAAGTCAGTCTACTTTGTACAGCACTATCCAAAGACAATCTCTATATTTTTAAACATTCGTTATGTACAGTATCTTTTAACATGACATGCTTTTCATACTGTATGTTAATTGTTCTATCAAATATGTTTTCACGGGTAAAGAGATGGTACGCTTTGCCTTTCATTTTAACCGTTTTTGCATTACAGAAGAGCATATCGTGCTGGTCTACCCATGCTTGTTTACATTTCAATCGTGTAATATAGTCTTGAACTGAATGCATTCAAAATGTTATATATATCTTGAAAACGTGTTTATTATAGGAAATATATTTATTGACCGTAAATAAATTCATTGTCTTATTTATTCATTTTGATTTTAGTGAAAAAATTTATTTTATCTAAATTTCAATCTGAACTAAAAAATATCGTGATTCAAACAATTGCGACAAATAACTGGTAACTTCAACACCGCCGCTATGACATCGTCTCAAGCCACGGTCCGGAGTCCGCATAACGCTCTCTCCTACATGGGAGAGGATCGTACATTTTGGCCGTGGTTTGCGACGATGCCGCCATAACCACTGACCCACGAAGTAGCATATACATTGCCCTTTAAATAACAAACAGTTCTATATGTATAATAAACACACAATTGCACTTGGAGTTTTTGAAATTTGTGTTCCGAAATTTAAGTAGGTAAACTAACTTTTTATATAGAGTGGGTAATCGTACCATTTTTTTTTAAATGGTGAGAGGCGCGCGGTACATCCTTCCATACGTACCCTTTCAATATTTATTTACAAAAAAATTGGTACGAAGACAAACTCTGTATATAAAAAAAGCACAGTTTCAACATTCAATTTCTATCATTTTTACGGTTATTAAAGCGTGTAACCATTTTGGTGGGTTGATTGCAATTAATTTCTGAGTCATTTGATTCAGGTTTTATCTTTACTGTATGTATATGGTTATAAATAACTCCCAAGTTTAACAACAAATGGAATTTATAAGAATTTTTTAATTGATATTTAACCTGCCCTTGCGTAGGCATATGACTCGCCTTACCCCTCCCAGATTCTTTATATTGTCTACATTGAGCGGTGGCGGGTCGTGTGAAATGTGGTATTTGTGTGACAGGTCGTGTGTCAGGCGCGGATCCAGGAATTTTTCCGGGGAGGGGGCGGTCCACCCCAGTCAAAAGAAAATCCAACACAAAAATTTGTTAACAAGCAAAAAAAAAAAAAACTTGCCCAAACGTGAAAATCCAATTCGTGGGGTGGGGGTGGGGGGAGGTGTAGTGGTTGACTTTGGACTTGGTTGACTTTTGACTTCTAATGTTTTGTACCTACTGAAGTATTACTTTTAATAACAACTTGATAAAGGTCCGCGTTTTCAAGGAGGGACTCCGTTTTCTGGGGGGGGGGGGGGGGCTCCATGGTCACATCTTATTTGGTTTAGTGTATCAATTTAATATCGCTGCGAATTCCAGGGGGGGGGTCCTGACCCCCCGACCCCCCGACCCCCCTCTAGATCCACGCATGCGTGTGTTGGCGTAACAAGGCGTTTGTGTGTGTGTTAATAAAATATAATATACTAGTAATATAATATTAAATAAATATAAAGAGCATAACAAATGTGGAATGTCTTTATGACATCAGCTGAATCCAGTACACATTTATATAGGTTAACGACCAGGACATCTGCTTGAAAGCAACTTTGATGTATTTAATCATTATAACTTTATCACCAGTCAGTCTGTTACCTGATGCTAAGATAGGAATAATAAAGTTATACCTTGTAGGTGCAGTTGATGAGGAATTTTTTAAGGCTAATCAATTTGGTTTACTTTAGTGTTTTATATGAATGAAAAATCAAACGGAATAAACGATAAGAATACAATATTCTGTCAATGAACATATCTCATTCTTCAGATAAAAACGTATATTAATGATTAAACATAGAAATTTGTACGAGTATTATTGTATTTAAAGTTTGATGTAAATACCCTGGATAATTTTTTTAACTAAGATAAAGGGATGCCACATTAGAATTTTATTTAATAGATCGTTAAGACACCTTTTTTAAGTTATGGTTTAGCAATGAAAGACCGATATTAGTTCAATTTCTATTATTTTATAATATTTTATGCCCTTGGATCGAAAGATCCCGAGGATATATTGTTTTTGTCCCATCTGTCTGATTGTCTCTCTGTTTGTCTCTCTGTCTATCTGTTGTCAAATTTTACCTAGCTCATAACTATTGAATGGGTGGGGCCATGGCTTTCATTCTTCACAGGTGTATTTCTTGTGACCAGACCTTTCCATGGGTACCACCAAATTTGATCGCTTGATATTGGAGTTTAACCTACTCTTACAAAAAAAAAATACAACACTTTGACCTTCGCCATAACTTTTGAACAGTTGGAGCTAGGGCTTTAATCCTTTACATGCATATTTGTTGTAACAAGACCTTTCAGATGGTATAAATATTTTTGACCTTTGGATCTTGACCGAAGAGTTTGACCCACTTTTTATAAAAAATTAACCATGGTTAAAAAAAGTTTTCATGGAAAATTGAATGTTATCTCTGTTTCCCAAACTTGAATTAGTCATAAAAGTCATATTTTATGCATTGTGTATAAATTTTTGTATGCTTTGAATGACAATGGACGGATTTTATAATTACATAACCTGAATATTGATGACAACGAGCCATTTTAAGGCCTTAACTTTAAAGATTTCTGACAAGGGTACTGTCTAGGAACTTAACGTGTTCATGGCGTGAATATAGGCATTATGCATGCCTCGTTCTCCCATCTTCTTTTGTTTTGCAAAAGTGGGTCAAACTCCAATGTCAAGTGGTCTCGCCACAAGGAAACTATACACCCCCGAATCTTTAATTACAGGGGCATAAAATCCTTCAAATGATGACCCCCCAAGGGTAGGGAGGGACCACCACTGGAAATAGAAGTATATCAAAGAAATATACAGTGAAAAAACTTTAAGACCCCGCTGCTGAAGAACACAAACCGTTTTAAGACATTAAGAAGGTAATAAATTACTATTTTATTTATTTCGTGTTAAATTTGATTTGGGTTTGTCCAAATATCAAAATAATTACTTTCCCATAAGTTTTGAAATTTCAATTCAATTTTCTGTTAAAATTAAATTAACTAATAAATTCTCTCTACTTTCGACTA